ACATGGCTCATGGTACCGCAAAAATGGGAATCAGCTTCCTTATGATCCTGAATTAGCGAAGTTATATTCCCAAGATGGGTTGGAATATTGTCTTACCTGCAACACTTCAAGCAATAAATTCAAATTCGCGATCGTAGCATAGGCGATCATGTGAGATCGATCAGTTGGGTAAATTTCTTGCTGAATGAATGGGGCTGTGCGACGTAAGATTTGCATATAGCATTATTTTTTTCTAAAAGTCGATTTGCATTTATTTTACTGTAGATGGGTTACCAGGCGAAATGAAATAAAATAATCATGTTTAGTAGTCTACAGACATTAGTATAGAAATTTCGTTATGTAATAGTCCCACACCATGTAATTTATTTTAGCTTAATTTTGTATTGCAAATAAAAAACGTTTAGGATTCTAAATGACCCAAGCAAACTCCCAAGCAATGTAGTCAAATATTTTTCTCGTGTGGACAGGCGAATAGTAGGATTCCCCGGAATCTACATACTGATTTTTATTGCTCAAGCGTATATGCATGTTAATACAGGGTAATTTAGGAATCTAGATCGGCAAATTATTGGGCAATGATTGCCAGCGAAGATCCAGGGACTTTTATTCTCAAACTTTCTCGCATATTCTCAAAATTATTACGTATATTATTAAAAAAGGGCCCCTTGATGATCTTTACATACGGATAGCGTAAGAAGAGGCGGTTGATCAGATTTTCGTGATGCGATCATGTTAACGTAATCTCCCCCCAAAAGTGTATAACAAAATCGATCCTGTGAATTATATAAAATGGTGATGACCCTGTTAGTGAATCCATTTATCCGCCTTGTGCAAATAAAAAAACGAAAAAATAAGCGAAACATTCAAACTTACCATAATTTACATCATCGATATTATCTTATCATCCAATCAAACAAACGAGTATATTCCGTAAAGTATTATAAGGTATGTTGGTTTTTATCGCTCGGCTAGCTTCTTGAAACATGTCATCACGATCTTAATCGATTTTCCGCTATAGATGTTCCAAAATAAAACGGACACATTACTTTTCTTATATATCGGCATTTTGATCGCCGAGAAAATCTTTGACCATCGTCACGCGTATAATAGGCGCAGTGAAATGAATCTCGTCACATGCAACGGCACAGCAAAAGTCTGGCGCAGTATATCAAATGGCACAAGCATCTTCACGTGCCGAATTCTTGAAACTTTGCGCAGTATCGTAACGGCGATAACGCTGAAAAAATTAAGCAATCGATTCCTTGTATATGAGACGGAATGGAATGTTATGAAAATGAATCATAGTGGTAAGTGTGAATATTGCTTATTTTTTTTATCTCAATTGCTAATCCCCGAATTTATGTTGTAGGTTCGAAATTACTTAATCTCAGTGAATCAAGTCATATTATCTTAAAAAAATATATATAATCGCTATTGATTAGAAACTTGATTTAGTTTAATTTAATAAAGAGAGTGAAGTTTGTGACTTTACGCTAACTTGAAAACAATGTTATTATACTTACCAAGAGCTTTTGAAGTGTTAAACCATTCTTGGGGAATTTGGAGTTATGGAGGGGGCCTAGAGTTACCAACCGACTTTTCCAAGAGGAGAAGGGTTGCACACACGAGGGCGTCACCAAAAGGAAACGGGAGGTCGTGGGTGTTGTAAGCAACTAGTTCCATGCTCCCAAAGAAGAGGCGTTACCAAACAGCTTCACCAAGAGGAGAAGGATTGCGCACACGAGGGCGTCACCAAATGGAAACGGGAGGTCGTGGGCGTTGTAACTAAAACCACTTCCATGCTCCCCAAACAATTTCTAAAGAAGTTATATGTTCGATCTCCTATTTATTTCGTATTTACGAAAGGCATTTTTGATTTGCGTAACGCCGTAACCACTGGCGTAACCCAATAAGACCACAATGTAACCACCAAAAAAACCGCACGAAAATTGGTCAGAATTATGATATTCGGCTGGCATTAGGAAA